GAATCTTCACGCTGACCATCTTTTTTTGTCTTTTTCATTGTCATTATTTGTTTCTGGTTGCATTTAGATGCTGTAATCATGACCAAGGCCCCACAGGAATACACATTATAAAAGCACATGCAATATTCTAGTCTCATCCTGTTACCAGGGAAAGGAAGCAGGCAGGGGATGAGACGTACAGATGTAAGTGCCTCAGGGCTTGAGTTATCAACTCACTCTCAAAGCAGCTGCTCCCACTGGCGAATCTCTTATGGATCAGTAGAGGAGAAGTACAGCCCGATGAACCCCACCAGGTTTTTGAGGCTGGGAAAACCATTGGGAAGGGTTAAAAACTCCCTGGAGTCTGAAGGGCATCAATCCCTTTTGGCAGCCATCCATTTTTTCTCCATCCTGGCTCACTTCTTGTGCTGTTCAGCTTTTCTCAAAATGAATGTTAAATCTGGTGAGGGAAAGGGGGATTATGCCACAAATTTTCTGAGTGACTTTGGCCAAATTCCTTCATGTCTGCATAACTCTTTCCCTGTCTGTAGCATAAGGGTAATATTTAATTAGAACATAAGTCTCATAAGGCCTCCTTTGGAGCTTGTCATGTGAGGTTGTAATGTGAAAGAAGCTATATTTAATGTCATTAATTTAGGATTTGTGTTGCTGATGGCTTTGCTGTATTTTAGGCTCTCAGCGCCAGACTAGTAATTATTTAAGACTATAAGCCCTGAGCATTCTGAAGCCAGTAGAAGCCTTGTCACCAATGTAATTTTAATTTATATTACATGGTAATCCAAGATGCAAGCCTACATTTAAGCCTAAACTGACCTTGCATACAAATTTTAATGAGCGCTAGCACCTCAGAAGCCGAAGAGTCCACATGATCTCTTAAAATAGGCCCCCGTGCAGTCCTGTCTGCTTTGTGAGTGGAAGGGGCACAAGCATGGCTGTGCCAATCATAATATATTCCATAATATCATATAACCAACGGAGGATGTATAAGTGAGCTCAAGTTCCTTCCGAGAAGGCTTTGCTGGTGCATGCAGCAGGGTGCTGTGATCTGAGCAGGTAGCTGCGCTACAGATACTCAGGGGATGACTAAGTCAAGGGGCATAGTTTGTAGTAACCCACTTGCTGGTCAGATCCAGTGAACTACAGAAACATTGCTGCTTGGATCAGGACACAATGTCAAATTTTCCCTGAAGGTAGTTTGGACTGGCTGGGAAGGTTAAAAAAAATGCATCTTGAAAAGGCAAGTCCTCTTTGCCTGACAGCAAGAGGCAGCCTATGCAGTACCACCGCACTAGCTCTACCACTTAAAATGTGATCAAAACCTAACAAAACCCTCTACTTGCTGAGATTTACTGCTTCACAGACCAACGGAGCGAAATGTAAACTGCGATACATCCGTCTTTATTCCACAAGCATCCCTGGTTCTGTTATTCCCCTCTCCAGTCCCCCCGGATGAATAGCCCTTGCCCCTCGCCACGCTGAATAGGCCAGGTGACTCCGAAACTGGCCACCCAGCAGATGCTTCCGCAGTACCAACTGTTCTGAATCCCCCACCCCATCTCCAGCTTTTTTTTTTTTTTTTTTTTTTCCCCTCCTTCCCCCCGTGTCCTACCAATCTAGGCTGCCTGGCACATGCTGCAAGCTGCAGTCCCACTGGAGTGATATTGTGATGGAAATGAGGGAGGGGATGCAGGCAGAACTGCACAGATTTACAGCACTCTAAGGGTTTCCATTAAAATCCTTGACAACTTGTTATTTATGAGTAGACCAACAGCTCTTCTAATATCCAGGGCCTAGACCCCATTCACTTCAATAATGCTGGTTTGGAATAAATGAGCCAGAGGATGGAAACCAGTTCTGTTAGTATAATGGAGGAGGCTAATAGCTGTTTAGAGAAAACAACTGATGTAATTCTGGGACCCAATCCTTTCACCAACAAAACAATAAGCGTTCGATTCTTCAGTGCATTTCACGTAGTGATTTAATTCAGTACAAACAGGGTGATAAATGGCGGCGTTTGGATTTCGTGCCGTTATATACCCACTAAGCACTCTCTATTTGTACTAGTGCACTAGAGATAAAGGGACTAATTGACTTCTGTGCAAGCAGGGATAGGTCAGTCTGGATCTCCCCAGCAGAACAAAGATAAAGAAGGTGTCCTTACAAAATAATAGGAGCAACAAAACCCCCTTCTGCATAAGAGTAATATCTTCATTTTTCAGTCTCACAGGGGCCTGTGAGCATTTCCTTTTCCCCACCTAAATAATGGTGGCAGTCTGTTTAAGTGTCGTTTTCAAATTTTTTTTTCCACCACTTCCTTCTCTGCTCTCTTCCGCTGCCCAACACTGACATGCCAAATACAGAAGCAGCTCCGCTTACGAAGCACAGGACTGATCCCTGAAATAAGGACTTCAATGATGAAAACACTTTAAACTCTAGATGTGCATTATGCTGCTGTAAAGAATTATTGATCTCTTCCGCCATGTCTTAAAATCAAACTGACAAGTTGATGACCGAGTATATCCGCTCCATTGCTGGCTTGTACATGGATTTCCTTTTCCTTGGTTCACCTGCATCTTGTCTGTTTATGTGCCTTTTCTCAGGAATATTTTTATTTCCTTTCAGCTTCCTCTGCTCTTGACGGGAGCCTCATTGAGATGATGTGGAGAGAAGCAGCAGCAGTGCTCCCAGACTGTGTTCTGCTCCATGCCTCTGCCTCCCCCTTGTCTGCACCCTGAACCTCAGCACTGTGTTTTTGGAGGAGATGGACAATGCTGAAGGTCCAAATTGTTCTGCAGGAAAAGGAAAGAAGACATGAATAGATGAGGAGGAACCAGGAGGAGAACGAGTGGAGGAAAGAGGCTGTTCAAGTGAGGAAGGGGACTGTGGCTGAACAGTTGGGAATTGCTCCCTGAAAGAAGCTGAGCCACCAGTCGGTTATTTCAGCAACCTTTCAGATACTCTGACTTTCAGGGCTGAAATAGTTTGGGAATCTGGAATCTGTAACCACTTCCCTTGTGGCCAACCTCTTTTTTCTGCACCAAAATAACTTTTCCTGGGCAAAACAAACTGACATCAATTGGTATGTGATGCCCTCCGTGACCACAGTGAACAGGCTGTCTTTGCAGCTGAAAGAAGTTATCATCTAGTTTGCATTTTACACATACAAAAACATACCTGTTAATTGGAAAACAATGTGCTGTAGACAGGGACAGATATATTCAAAATATACTCTGTGTGAATAGGAGAGAAAGGGAAGAACCAGCTTCTTGGAAAAGGAAAGCAAGGTGTCTGACAAAAAGTGAGGGAGAAGCAAAAGGACCAAGCAAAGGGTGAAGAGCTCTCTGAGGCTGAATGGTTTTGCCTGGAGAAGGGAACAGAAAATGTTACGCTGCATCTGAGCAGTTATCGCTGATGGAGAGCAAACTGGACCTGTTCCTGAGCTGGACCAAACAGATAAGACCTGTAAAGGTTTAAAAATATGTATATTCACAGAGATTTGGCCCATGAAGTATGACTTCTTCCTTTTAGATACATTTCTAACAAATGCCCATTCAGATGCCATATCAGATTGGGTAGAAATTGTGCCAAACCCTCACTGTCCCCTTTGAAAATTTATTTCAAGGTCCTAATCCACTACATATCAATGTAATATTGGATCTCGTCCAAAGTATAACTATATCTAATTATCAGCCATTTGAGCTACTTCTGTATTAAACCATAAAATTGAGATAGGATTCAAACCTCTTATGATTCCAAAGGCTAAATGCAGCAGTAACATAAATAATGCTGTAAATTACAAGCAAAATGAAAACTTGGTCAGAAAATATATGATGTAATTTGTGCTTACGGGTAAATTGGTCCCTAGATGCCCAGGATAGGGAAGGTATGACCTGCATCAGGCCAAAGGATATGGCTGGGAGTCTGAATCTGTGCCATTATTACAGAAAAAAAATGACATACCTTAAAATACTTCAAAAAGCCAGCATCTTCTTGAGATTTATTGCAGTCTGACCCCCTCTGCTGGTCACCCGCTTGTGTCCCGGAGCCGGCACCTCAGCGTAGGCACCGAGATTTGTAGAAATGCTAGGAGCAGGCAAGTGGAAAGTGATGGGTACCTGTGTAAAAGGGATGGAGAGGCAATTCGGGAACACCGACGCTTGGCACCAGTAGCTCAAGGACATAGATAGCACCGGGACATGGCCAACCCCAGGTGATCGGGTTTGGGTTTAGGATACGAGCTGCTAAAGCCGGTACTAGCAACAGTGTAGAACGGAAGGAGGTCTGATTGATAACTGGCATTTGGGTGAACTACCAGGTTTTTAGTAAAAACTGCTTTTGTGTCTCTCCACATTTGATTTGCTTCTGTCAAGATGCAATGTAGTAAAAAAAGAAAAATGTAATTTACCATGAGGTTGTGGGGGGAAGCATTTTCTTGGAAAACAATGGTACTTTTCCTGAGAAAACAAGTGTTCAGTTAAAAATGAGCCCCATTTTGATGGGATGTTTGATTGTCAAAATTGGGATAAAGCTATGCCAGGAATGTTGATACACTATAGTAATCAATAATATCAAAACATGTACAATACCAAGTATTTTTTTAAATAATGTTTTATCATTCCAACTGAGGAGGTTTTCAGCTTTTTTTTCCTAGCCTTGGGAAAAAAGGTGTTGATGCACCGGACATTCCTATGAGCCAGAAGAAATTCAGCCAACTCTAGGTTTTTAGATCAGCACTACTGGGAACAGATATAAACAGAGATCCCATACAGCTCATTTGACTTTCCTGATTCATTCTCATTATCCCATACTATCTTTGGCCTCTATGATATATTCCCATGCTGTGAGGAGCCACTGAAGATCAACCAGTCAAATATCTGCTTTCTGTTAAACACGCTCTCCCTACCTGTAGGGATATCGTGTTGCATGCTAAAAGTTATTCAGAGAGGTGCTTAAGTACTTGGTTAGAAGCCTCAGCAAGTAATGGAAAGCCTGCAAATAGCTTCAAGACCCCATCAATTCTTTCACTTTATTAAGAATGAACAGACATACACATCTTTTTCAAAGACTTTATCCATACAGCTTTTATTTTTGTTTGCTCTTACTTTCTTTTACAGGTTTTTTAAATAATGCTTACCAGTATGGTACATCTCAAGACAGAAATACTTTATTTAGACCTAGATTGATAAAAAGCTTGTGTAGAATCAAAACAGTAAAATATTTTAAAATCTTTGTTACTCTAAATATTCTTAAAACTCTGTGTAAACTTCTTAGAATTTGCCATTGCTTCAGATATTCAGCAGGAAACACAAACTAATACAGCTGGATAATAAATCTTCCTCCATTTGTGTTTGCATGGAAAAAAAAGAGCTGCTACCATAAATTGAAAATCCCAATGCAGAAATAAAAATAGTAACTGGATAATCTGTGCACAAAGCATTGTAATATCCCAAGGCACCTAGTTTAGAATCACAATGTTTTAGTTTGAGAACAGTCTCTTCTTGTTAAATCAAGAAGGCTTAGGAACATAAAAGAGAAATAATCTAAATTCATAATTTCCTTTAAATGAGGATGCCCAGTTTCTGACTGAGAGGCTATTTATCCTCTGTGCTGCCAAGACAACTCAGCTACTGCCTTCCTGTGGGCCCTATACTATAACGACCTTCCCTGTTTCAGAAATCTCAGGTTTTCCTCATCCTGAGATGGATGAAGAAAACAGTGAAGGTGCCTCACCCTAGGATAAGCTGTGCTGCCTACGTCGCTGGAAGGAGGGCCCTAGACCTTCAGATCTGCAAACAGATATTTGGTTTCTTTATAAATATCTATCTTTCACTTGTTTTACAACTGATGGTAAAAAAAGAAATGTATTTTTATTTAGACTTTTTAAACTTAATAATTAATTCTGCATTCCAAAAGTTAATCAGGACTGCAAATATGATTACACAATGTTTCTGGTCTTTGGTTAGCAATCACAGTGATATATTAAAGAATAAATCCATTAAAATAGAGAGGTATCAGCCAAGTACAGAAAACTGCTACACTACACCCCATCACTTGGATTCCTACCTGAATGAACAGTTACATGGCCAATCCTGTTCTACAGAACTGGTACTGCATTTGACTAAATTACTAATTACAGGGTTTGTAACTCATTTAACAAGCATATGTACTTGGATCCAAGACAGAGAACTTAAGTTTGATGATGGTGATTCAGTTTCAGGATGTGGATGGCTGACCTGATTTACGTGTTAGTCATATGCTGCATGGAACAGAAAGCTCAGAATTATAGTACTAGTGGCATAGTCAGTCTTGTCTGGGTGATCTTAGCATGAATTAAGCCAATACAGTGCTTTTGGTCTATTATATACTGTGGCCTCTGCCAACTATTCTACAGAGCAGATAAAAATGCAGAATTATTCCAGGCCATGACAAAACATATGGTCATCAAACACCTGCTTATTGGACTTATCAAAGGTCTCACTGCAGAGTGGGCACTCCAGAAGATGGCTCTGCACATGGGCCTCATACTGGCTTGTTTCAACATCTTCAGGAAATACTTCATTGCACATGGGGCATTTCCTTAAAGAAGCCTGAAGTACAGAAGAAATGCAAATAAAGTCAGTTAAAAAATTATATTGAAAGGGAAAGAACAGAAAAGTTTAGTAGCCAGGTGTTACCACTTTTGGATAAGTCAGTCTTACTTCTAACACTCAAATTTTCAAATGTCCCCAGGCTTCTCTAAATAGCACTTAAAAGTCAAAAGCTTCTCTAAGGTACTCCAGCTTTCCATCCTACATAGCACATGTCCATGTCTCCAGTATGAAATAAGGTATTCAGCAGCTGCATGCTGCTCATTCTGACATTAGATGCTGCCAAAAGCTGGTCCTTAAAGATTAAAGTCAACAGTTTCCTTTCTCTTCCTTAAGACATACAACTCTTATTAATTCTACCTATTAAACATATATGGCTCCATTTTGTTGTCCACTATCTTACCAGGACTAAACCAGTACATAGATAATTGGCTACAGAGCTGAATTTGGAGCTTTTTATTTCAAACCACTAATTTGTGTCCATAAACCACTAATTCATGACCAGTTGTGTCCACTTTACTTACTATGTCTGCAGCTCTTGCCCCCAGGTTTGCTCCTGCAGCTGGAAAAAGACAAAGTCAATTTAGCCACAGCAAAATGATTAACAATGTAATGTGCTGATAACTAGTAATTCTTGAAACATGAGGATGTGGCTCTGGATCTAAACCTCTATATTTAGGACTATGGAAACTGGACATAAGCCACAGAACTAGCTGTCTCACAGCTGAATAAACTAGCTAATAGGTGTCTCTCTTGGCAGAAAATAAACAGGCAGCTGATCACTTAACTCTTAACACCTGGCAGCATTTTGCAGCTGCCAAGTCATCTGCACATATGCAAAGCTGCACAGAGGTGCTGATAATAATGTCTTTTCTACAGCATTCAATTTGAGAGGGAGGATAATTTGCTGAGACTTTAACTGCCATGTATTTGTGGTTTCAGACCGAATGCCAAGTAATCTCACCACAATATGGATTTCCAAACAGAAGGCCTTCTACTTCAGGAGCTGGAATTGGAGCTTGAGCTTGTGAAGAAACCTTTCTAGCCTGCGAGAGATGTCTCAGGAGTCTGTCATTCTCTTCCCTTAGTTTCTGCAAAGGGACAGAAGGTCAGAATGAATTTCCAGAAGCTCAGGAGCCCATTTCAGAGAAAAGTCATACTTTGCACTAACATAGATGCTTTTGTATCAGAATCAAAATTGCTCTGAACTTCTTTTAGGTAGCTCAGTGTTAGTCCTGCCGGACTGAATGGGAAAGTGAGGTAAGGAAGGGCAAGGATCTATTCTGTGGCCTGCTCGGAGAGGCAGACAAGATGGTCACAACAGAGTAATACCCTTTAAAAGACAGAATACTGTACTGAAGTCACGCAGAGTAAGGAACAAAACTGAGCAGTCATTGTTTAGACCAGACAAAAACACTATGTCCACTTAAATGAATAAGTCCATTCCTTTCAGTGGTGTCAGAATTAAGCTAACATTAGGAGTTTTTGAAAATCCCCACGCTGTTATGGGTCAACTAGTCTGTTCTGTGGTGGGGGAAAAGGTGCAAGTTTTTGGACCCTTCCTCTTAGGCTGTACAGACGTGGCAGCAACAGCATGCTGCAAGTGTACACACACAGTCATCCAAACGTGCTGCAGGCAGCCTGGCTTTAGGTGATGGTCCATGTGCAAGCGTAATTAGTGATCTGTTTAGAAGGGTTATTAGAATTGAACACTAGACTGGGAGGTTAGTGCCATATTCAATACAGGAGAAAGGCGAGGGAGTTGTGCCAGGTTCTCACCTGATTTTGCTCATCAGATTTATTCTTTTTTGCCTGCAAAATCTGAAACAAGTGCTTCTGCTCCTCAAGTTCCTTCATTAAGTCGAGGTTTTGTTGCTATGAAGGAAGAGTGTTATTTGGTAAAACATGGGAAACTGGCAAATAAAACAGTGACAATTCCAGTTCTTAGAGCTGCCTCATGCTGCGTTTGTTACCAACAAATAACCCTTCACTTTCAGTGGGAATCTTACCATTTCATAGTTTGTCACCTAGGATACCTCCAGGTCACCACTCACACTCTGTATTTTCATTACAATGTGTGAGATGACACATGACCTCTGAAGGGGACATATGACAGGTCAAACAAAGAGGGAGGTTGAAGAAAAGGAACACATACAGCTGAAAGATCCACCCTGGCAGGTGAGAGCTATCTGAGTGTGCTGGGTTTCCTGCTGCTGTGAGACTTGCATTGACACTGGAGAGCTAGTACATCCTTAGGAATTAATCTTGTAGCTGACTCTTGAATTCAATCAGTAAATTAGATCAGCTAGAGTACTTAGGGATTCTGCAGTTATTCCCAAAGTATCATTCTGAGAGTCCTGAACATTTGGCATCACAGTGGAGGTAATCACATCATCTATTTTAGGCATCTAATTTTCAATGCCAAAGTGAGAGTAAAGCCTCCAAAAGCTTCCTGAGTAGCACATACAGAGAGAGAAGCACCTTTAGAAGGTCACTCAGGGCAACAGGCTCAAGATAATGTGACAGCCTCCGTCATTGCCAGTGATGGTTTCTTCAGTAGAAAGAAATGCCACAGCATGCTGCCCTTTTATATCTTTCACATTCCTTCAAGGAGAGATTTCCAGTGCTGAGGTTTGTGGATTACTTCTAAAAGGTCGGCAGAAGTTCCCTAAGAAAAGCAAGCCTTCTGCCCGTAAACTTAAATTTGTTATACATATAGTCATCTGCAACACCACAGGGAAACTCTGATGGTTCTGCAAATCGAAAGAAGGTGGAAATGAGTGCTCTGGGTGAATCTCAGCTCCCCTGCACAGGTACCAGCAAGTTCCATACAATACAGCAGAGCTCTGTGCTCAACGCTTTTAGGACCATCTCCCCAGCTGCACGCCCAGAAATGTTGGGCACCTGCTCATTTTGCAGTGGGACAAAGTGAGAGTTTGGCCTCTGACCCCTTCAAGTTTTCCATGCAATGTTCAAGCTCCTGATTTTGCTGCTTCTGCACAGAAATCCCAGATTTTCACAAGTGGAGTTGCAAAGAGGTCGGAGAAGGATGTGGGGAAGAGCATCAAACTACAGAACAGAAACTCTGTGTTGTTTACAGCTTATTTTGGAGAATTCTGAGCATACTGCATCTATTTTAATAAATAGATTATTAAATGCTAAATTTGAGATATTAAAGATGACAAAGAGACAAAAACATCAGAAGGAAGAGAAGAACAGCAAGGTTGCTGCCTCACACCAACTAGTAGTCAGCTTCCTGTTGGAGGTAAAATTAACAGCATATTGTCTGGGCAGATTTAGGGTAACTTGTTTTATTCACCCATAAATTGCAGTCCCGAAACAATTTTGCTGAGATACAACTATTTGCAATGAGACAAATATCAATCCTGAATTCCCACTGATTTACTTTATGCCTTGAGCTGACTCAAGAGAGATCAAGACAGAGACTGAATTTCCCTGCTAAGGAGAATCAGAATTACAATGTCTAGCTATACAGATGTTTCTCCCAAAACTAAAATATATGTGTATGCTACAACAATATACGTATACTATAAGAATCTGTCAGATGGCGTGTTCACAGAACCACTTATGAGGACATCCACACCACCATGGACATTTCTCTTTCTGTCATGGAGTCTGTCGTCTCAGATTCTTGTAAGATTGAGCAACATTTGTACCCGCTCATTGCCAAGAATGCCTCAGGTCTCTCTGCCCTGGCTCCCCCAAGCACTGTGATACTCAGGAAAGGCTTTACCTGTTGAGTTCTAGTCTTTTGTAACTGGCGATTCTCCTCCTTTAAGCTTTCAAGCTGCTTTGTCTTGTCATTGTCCATTTGAGACAGGTTTTCCACTTCTCTCTCATAATTCAACACCCGAGACTAAGGAGAAAGAAGAGTGTGCAAAAAGTGAAAATCAAACAGCACAGGCACCTTTTGCTGCAGAAGGCAAAGCTCCAGAACCTATGGCTGCTTAATTTTTTTTTTTTTCCTGCAATATTTTTCCATTAAAACCTTTTTAGAAACTGAGAATAGTTACATGGGGATATACTGGAGCTGATGTATTCATCAGAACACAGTACTCACTCATACGTTCTCTGAAGAGCTTAATTTCAACATGACACTTCTAGTGTGGGAAGTCAGAGGACAAAGAGAAAAAGAGACTCTTTAGCCAGACAGTTAGGCCATCATTCTGCATCTCCCATGTCCCAGACCTAACAACCAAGCTATTCTCACAGTCTACCTTCACCCTTCACATACCTTCCAGCTAAGAAGTCTTGTTTTCAAAGTATTGAACACAATTTTGGAATGTTTTTTAAAACAGAAGTGTTTTCTGCCTGAATCCTTAGCTAGCAGGAGGTAAACAACAGTCTGATTTTGGTCAATTTAATGAGCATGCAAAGGGGATGTTTTTAGGGAACAAAATCCTTACAGTTTCTCTTAACACATCCCCCTCTCTACCCTTCCTTCCAGAATACAGCTTCCTCAAGGTCTCCTGGAGGTCAAATCAAATCACATCTTCCTAAAGAAGCCATGCAATCAAACAAGAAACTCATACACCACATACTTGCTCAATTCTGTCAGAGGGAAACTGATTCTATCACAGACAGTTCATAAAAGCAAAGGAGGGCTGCTGTATGCTTGCTACCTGCAGCTGATCCAGGTGATCCAGGGCTGTTTTCAGTCTGGTTTCCAGGTGTTCCTTGTCAGAGGTCACACTCCGAATTTGCTCTTTGAGTCTATTCAGAACAAATCAAAACACACCATACTTTCACAGAAGGAAATTTAATCCACAAAGGCAAGGTGCTTACATGAAATCCTGTTTTGAGATATCCTGTAAATACACTTACTGGTGCAGTTCTGCCTCCCTGCAGTCATCCAGCTCCTTTAGATGTTTATTTTCATTTTTCAGGGAATTCAGCTCCAGCTCCAGTTTCTCCGTGTTGCTCCTTAGAGACTCTAAACTGTTCTGCAGCTCCTGAAAATCACAGTGAGGTTGACAGGAGGTAAACAGGACCCAAGCAATAGTCCTGCTCTGCACTGGAGCTGCAAAAACCCTCAAATGCAACACTGCCAGGCAGCCTATGGGGAGGAGGAAAATCTCTCCCTTTGCATGCTGACTACTCTTTTAGACCCCTGTTGTGGTTTGAGCCCTGAAGGCAACTGAGCACCACGCAACCGTTCACTCACCCCTTCCCCCTCAGTGCTGGGAAGGAGAAAATGAAGCCAAAGGTTCCAGAATTGAGATAAGGACAGCAAGGGGTGACTGACAATTACAGTCATGGGCAGAAAACAGACTTGTTAGGGGAAGAAAAAGAACATCACTTTTAATTAAAACACTGACAAAACCCAACGCTTAACAGAGAAGGTGGGACAGTGAGAAGTACCACCACATCCCAAACCCACCTCCCCCCACCCCTCCCTTCTCCTGGGGCTCAGCTCTGCTCCCGATCTACCTCCTCCTCCCCAGCAGTGCAGGGGAAGGGGAATGGGGGGGGTTATAGTCAATCCACTGCTTCTTCCTCCTCAAGAGGGGGAGGGGGCACTCTGCATTTTTTACCCCTGTTCCATGTGACTCCCCTCTCATGGAAGACAGTCCTCCACAAACTTTCTCTGGCATAAGTCCTTCCCACAAGCTGCAGCTGTTCCTGTGCTGATCTGGCATGGGTCACCCCCAGATGTTGCAGTCCTCCCAGCGCTGAACTACACCAGCGAGGGCTTCTTCTCCCCCCAGAGTCCCAGCTTCCTTTAAGCACAGATGCCTGTCCCGGTGTGGGCTCCTCCACAGCCTGGCCCCTGCTCCACTGCAGACCTCCGTGGATGGGGGTGGCTCTGGCCCATCCAGGGGGGTCTCTGCTCTGGCACACCTCCCCCGACATCCTCCTCCTTCTTTCCACTGACCCTGGTGTTTGCATAGGTGTCCTTCTTGTAACTCCTCCTCACAAGTCCCAACCCCTCTCAGGTTCCCCCTCTTAAATATATTATAGCAGAGGTGCAGCCACTGTTGCTGATCAGCTCAGCCCTGGCCAGACGTGGGTCTGACTTGGAGCTGGGGGGAGCTTTTGAAAAGCTTCTCACAGGGGCCACCACTGTAGCCCCTGCTCTCGCTACCAAAAACCCCACCCCACAAACCCAGCACAACCCCACTTCATTTATTTTAATCCCTGAGCAAAACTGAAGAAGGAAAAAATAATGATAATGTGATTTCAGGACAGCCTACAAAACATTTTTGAGCACTCTCCCTCCTGTATGTTCCTGGCTCCTGAGTCTGAAGATGTCTCTTGTTCATCATTATTGTTCTTATTGCAGGAGAGGTGTTGTACAATTTGGTAAAGGATTAAACAGATAATATGGGGAGACACCTCTTTAATTTTCTCCTGGAAGCATACAGTGGAACAAGACCTGACTTGGTCCTTTTTCATCTTTCAGACTTACAGCTTCTGATTTATTATATTAACTTTTTTGTTTACCTGTGTCTTCTTGAGTTCTTCCTGCAGATCCATGTTTTGTTTTTGGAGACCAGCATGGCTTGCTTTCAGCTCCTTATTTTCTTTAAGCAAATTTTTGTTTTGTAGTTCAATCTCTTCCACTTCTCCCTGGCAAGCAACGAAGTTGTTTGGTCATAACAGATGCCCTGAAAAGCTACATTCCAAATAGCACAGTGCAAAGAGCAAAGAAAGATAAGCCCTGCAAAAGGGAACACTGTGTACCTCTTCATGCTTTCACTACTAATGCAGCCCAGACTGCTACTTCCCTCTCCCCAGTCTCCCCAAAGCTAACCATCAGTCCAATTCTTGAACACTGAGCACATACTACCCCGATCTTTGGAGATGCTCAATGCCCTCTGTGTCCACAGAATTCAGCAGAGGCAGAGCGTTGGGGCTTTTTGAAGTTCATTAAATTAGGATCATGTGTACAGCGTAGTCATTGACAAAAGGGCTGCACACAAGACACTGCAAAATAAGGAGTGTTTGGCTTCACAGCACCTCAATTACTGTCCATGTGTGTGTTCTTACTCCCATCTAATGGCAGGCTGTTTCCATGAAAAAGATATTTTCATGTAAAAATATTCAAAATGCCCTGAAACACTATGTATTAAGTCGCTTCCTGTTATAAAAAGCTCACAATCTAAATGATAAATGGCAGGTAGAGAAACAAAGGCTGACCAAATTTGTGTGACAGATCAGTAGCAAAGCCAAGAATAGAACCCAAGTCTGCTGAGTTCTAGCTCGGCATCCAGTTTACCGGATCACTCCATGTGAGCAATGAGCAGATGCCAATAAAAGCAGAGGCAGCAAAAAGCAGGGGAAGAGGGGACACATACCTGTGTGGTAACCACCAGGATGTCATCCTCGGTCTCTGCTCTGAACTGGAAAGGCACACTAGCTCCCCGGACCACACCATCCTGGTCGACATAGCAGAACTGGTAGTATTCATCATCTTTCGGTAGGTAGTAAGCTTCAAAGAAACACAAGAACCCCGTCACATGCAGCTTATAATTATTCAAGTCTCTTAACTATAGCACAGAAAGTGAGAACCTCAGAAAACTGAGACATCCTACTTCAGTATTGTTCCTGCACCGTTAGTAATTCCTTGTGGCAGTGATAAGAACAATACCACTCAGTCAGGATGGCAGAATTTAGCAGGTTAAAAATTTTGTGATTAAGTCTCCCAAGGCATGATCCTACAGATATTCTGTAATTCTGAATGTAATGGTTATTAGTGGCAGCAAAGTGGGAGTCTGCATGTGCATGCCGGTGTGTGCATGTGCACGTACATTCCCTGAGTAACCCAAGATCCCGACTCACCTTTGAACTGGATCTGTTGCTGCACAGCAGTATCGCTGTGGCTATCACCGGGCAGAGGAGCCCACATGAATGTGTAATATTCCCGTGTTGTTTTCCATCCCACCTGCAACAGCAAAATTGTTATATGGCATCACTCGGTTCATGTTTATCCTATGGTAACGGGACCATATTTCCACATAGATCAGTTACTGGGAGGACTTTTGCATCGATATCCTGACTTCTAAGAGTTGTGGTCTATGCATGGAAGAATTATCAGTGTTTGATTAGCCTTGAAGCTGTTCAGATCACAACAGGTCTGGCACTTTGTCTTTAGGCACAATAAAGATGTTCGATTACACAAGGTTATTACCGAAAAAAAAAAAAAAATCCCTAACCCTATTCAATCAAAGCCCAAGCAGTTCGTTTCTGCCCGATGCTGCTTTCTCATACTTGGCACATCTGGCTTCACAGTATTCACTTACCCTGAAGATGCCCACCCAGTCCTTCCCGCGAGGAACTATGTTCTGTGTGAGGGTATAATAACAGGTTATGTCTCCTCCAGGAACATAAAATTTCTCCACATTGTTAAAGACGACCTGGGAGAAGTGGCAGTTGTCTAAGAGGACAGCAGAAGTGGGAGGCTCGTCGGAGGCCTCATCCATCATGGAAGTCTACAAGAGGAAAGAACAAGGGGATTATCTAATTTTCAGATGCTGCCAATGTAGTTGGGTCCCTGAAGGGTATGAAGGGGTATGGCTTGGGAATGACATAGCTGTAAGGTCCAAAACCCTCTACGCACACACCAAGGTTTCTCAGCAAGGCACTCGACCTCACTGGCGTCCCTGCCACTGTGGCCAGGCTGCTCCTGACATCCACGGCAGCCTGCAGATCCTCTTTAGCAGACATGTCTAAGATTCTCTCATCTGACTGCTGCTTCCCAGCCACAGTGCCTGGTGCTCTGAGGCTGCCAGTGTGGCACAGCAGCCTCTCTCCTGCATGGGAGCCCATGAACCAAACCCGCTGACTATCCCACAGATCTGCTATGTGGGAGAGGCAGGGGTGCCTTGCAGCAGCGGGGGCACGCGTGCCTGCTGGTGGGATCCCATGCTTGAAGACCCTGCTGGAACGTCAGCTGTCCCCACGTGCAGCCTCACATCAGGTTTTTAATGCGATTTGCCACTCCCGGCCCATCCCCAGTGTATGTAGTTAATGTGGGGGTGCGTCAGCTCTTCTGAAATCTGGAGGCTAGCATATTGCTTGAGAAGAGAGGTTTTGCTGTATCAGTGAAATGCTCCGACGGTAGTACAAGACAAAAATAGCAGCTTACAATCTATCATGCTAGGAGCTCCGAGCCTCATGCAGTCCCAGCCCTAACACACTCCACCTTCACAGGCCGACCGTGGTGAGACACACAAGACACACTCGTGCTGGTGATAAGCAAACTCAATGACCTCCCTGTCTTCTGCATTCAAATCCAACACAATGACTTGACCTCCAGTTACAGTATCTTTCATCTTCAGCTTCCTTGCTCCAAGGGAAGAGAGGTACCTTGCTAAGCTCTGCTCCCATGGAAGAGCACAAACAGAGGAGATCCTGGTTAAGCAGGTTCTCGTAGTTCTGTCTCACAAGCCTGTGTCGTGAGGCATTTATAGCCTTGCTACTCGTGACTGCTACGCTGAAACTGCAAGACGATTCTCAGTATCGAAATGAATGTGTTGCATGACAGCAGGGTCAACAAATAGCATTCAAGCTTTCTGCATCAGTCATCTATACAGAAAACTTTGCAGTGCATTGTGACAAATCACACAACATAAATCTCTAGTGGGTGCATCGATCAAGAGTATCCAAACCACCAGGAGCCTAGGCAGGACTGGAAACAGAACACTAAATCACGCTCTGTGCCATTACGCCTTGCAGGCAGCCAGGCTGCAGCCCTGGCAAACTGTCAAGGGGCAGATCACTGTGGAGAAAGCCCTGTTGCCAATCCTGGACAATTCAATTCCAGGAATCCAAAGCAAAACCTTCACAGCTGATCTTAGTGACAGCAGCAGCGAGCAAGGACTGACATCAGAACAGAGGGAAAGTTCATCATGAACAACCATCTCACTGGAACATGTCAGGTCATCTCCAATCCAGAAGTTGCACATGGAAATGAAGTCCCTGGAACGGTTTTGGGGTTTTTTGTGTTTTTTCTTTGTTTGTTTGTTTTGTTTTTTTTTCTTTTGGCATCACCCAGGAGATCATCTGTATTCTGTGCCAAAGAATAGCCTGAAATGCAGGCAAAAGTTTAGATGGGGATTGCAGGGCTGTGCTCGGAAAGGAAAAGGTATCCATAGCTGGAAAGAGTGGTGGTAACTGCACTGACACAGGCTGTCTTGGGAGCACAGAGAATTCCTCCTACTAGGAGCAGAAAGCTGGGCAGACCATAAAAATAGATGTGGTGCAATCCTTCAAGCCATCCAGGGCTGCAGTTTCACTTTTACTTATCTCAGTAAAGGATAGGAAATGGCATGTGATTCATCTAAGCCTCAGTCTTTATCTGGCTGATGTCAAACTTTCCTACCCTGATGTGCATTTATGGTTTGCAGTTCCCAAATGGCAGAGACCTCTTGCCAGCCACTAGACAGGAAAAAAACAAAGAAAATAAAGCTTCGGGACAGGACACAAGCCCTTGCTGCCACAATGCTTAAAAGTAACTTGCAAAGAAAATGGAGAGTCAGTGCCTGAATGCAGCAAAACTATGCATTCTGCTGCTGCTGCACACACAAAAAAAAAAAAAAAAAGTTGGTTTTGGTGAAAATACTTGTGATCTTGAAGGAAAACAAACCCAGAGGCCCGGCAGAGTGCGCTGATGGCAAAGTTTGCAATTCACTTCCAGGAAAAGATGACAGGAAGTAGAGGGCGGAGGACATTTTATTAATGTTGATATTTTTGTTACGCGTGCAGCTCGGAAGTGATCTGCGAGGCAGGAGAGGCCCCGGCGAGGCTGCTGCTGCCGGAGAGCCAGGGACAGCTGCACCTCCGGGGTGATGATGATTAAGAGGCAGCTGCAGCCCGGCACCGAGCTAACGAGGAATCGTTCCAGCTCATACAGAATAAATAACGTTTCCTCCGGTGTTCACGGCTCAGCCTCTCTCCGGAGAGATTTTTTATTTTTGTCCTTTTATTTCGCTGTTGCTGTTTCTTCTTTCATTAACCTGCAGCGCCCCGAAGATGCAGAAAACCACAGATTTCCCCCTTTCGCAAGCGAGACCAACTTCCAGCCGCGGTTGGACACCAGATGGAGCGGGCACCGTGTCCTACCGGGGGCCCCGTTTGCATCCCCCGTGGGCGTCGGGTTCCGACGGGTGGCGGGGAGTGGACCGGGCTGTCGTGTGTGTCCCCCTCCCCCCAAGACCGGGAAACGAAAGTGAAAGTGTCACCCCCACTTCGCAGCGAGACATCATCTCCCCTCCTCCCCCCTCCCGTTGAGCCCCAGGGGGGAACATCAGACTCCGGGAGGGAGGGGACGGGACCCAGTCACCGCCACCCCCCACCTCACTCACCGAGAGGAGCTGCTGGAAAGCTCCGAGGCTGCGGGGAGGAGATGGAGGAGCAGGAAAAGGCGGAGCTCCCCCAGGATACCTCCCCCCGCCCGCGCTGCTGGGATTTGTAGGCCGGTGCGGAACTTCAAGTCCCAGGACGGCGTTGCGGCCCTGGGGATGCCCCTCCGGTCGTTCTCCTCCTCCAGTGGGCCCAGCTTCCCTCGGCTCACCCAGCGGCTGAGGCTGCAGGTACCGGGGCACGGAGCCGGGCCTCGCCCCCTCCCCGCGGCAGCGGCACTGAACTAGCGCTGCTCGGCCACCGGACGCTTGAAACAAATCGCGAGAAAACGTTTTAAACGTTCAAATATTAACTTTTAGGAGATAATCGGAGAGGGGGCGGGCGCAGCAGGCGCCGGCGCACTGGGGAGAGCGGCCGGGCCCGCCCCGCCGCCATCACCGCTCCACCTCAATGGTAATCTCTATGGTGCGCGGACCCGCACAGAGCGCCTCACGGTCCTCGGGAAGCCCTCCAACCAATCAGCGAGCACGCAAGGAAAATAACCAACCAATAGCGGCCCGCGTGGCGACACCGCCCTCCCGCCCCCGTTAATCTGTCCCGGGATCGTGGTGGGAGGGCTCTGGTTCGGCCGTAGCCAATGGGGAGAGCGGATGTTGTCCCAGGGTGCCGCGCGCCGTGCGTGGCGGCAGCCAATGAGCGCGGAGGACGCGGGGGGGACACGGCAAGGTGAGCGGGGTGGGGGCGCCGGGCTCCGGGCTCCTCTCACAGCCGCCGGCGCCCCGAGAGCACCCTGAGCAGGTGGGACCCGCTCCCGGCTTCCCCCTCCCCCGGTAGCGGGGGAGGCTCTGCCGGCTGCGGGGCAGCGCTGGGCCTGGCTGCCCAAGTCAAGCGGCGGCGCATCCGTTGCCCCCACACCTCCCGCCCCATACCGGGGCTCGGGCGGGCTCGGTTGGCCCTCGCTGGGGGGTTCGACCCTGTTGGGAAAAGCAACAGAGTGCGGTTCAGAGGCTGGGTTGGAAAAGGCCCGAACGAGGATTAACAGAGGGCGGCGGGGGGGCACACGGAGCCGTGCGTGGGGCCGTGGGGAAAAGCCTTGGGGCCGTGGCTGCAGATGGAGGTGGCAGTCCCGAGAGGGGGGTGTTGGCCTGTGGTAATAGCCTGAGGGTTCTCAATTCCTTTTTTTTTTTTCCTTTATTTGTATTAGGTTAAGCAAAATGCAGGCTCCTTTGGCTCTCCTCAGCTCTCCAGCTCTGGTAAGTTGCCTTTCTTCAGATGAGCAAAACAATTCTTCATGGGGATATGTCATGGTGAAGTCTTTCTCTGTGGTGCTTGGTTCAGAACACTGTCCTGGCCACCCTCAGCAGAGGTGGGATCGTGTGGGTTTGCTTTACTGTGGATTTAACAAGGAGGGGAAACAAGGTGACCTCTGGTGACCAGAGGGTGATGCCAACCATCTTAGTAGATATGCATTGACCTGCAGGCCTAAGGGCTTCTCCCGAGAGAAGTTACCTATCACAGAGACACCCCAGTCTCTGAAGGTGTGCATTAGGAAGAAAATGTATGGAATTGTGGTAATGACTGAGCTGCTGTGCCAGATGTGCCACTCGTGCTGCAGTGTGTGGTCTGTGGTAGGTTTACTCATGGGTCTAATCCAACTGGGGAAAGTAGAAAAAACATAGATTTGCACCTGCCTTTGCTTTTTAGCCTTGTTTCGCTTTTGAGATGTTTTTAATAAATCTAGGGCTGTTCTTTATAAAATAACTGTTCTTTTCTGAGGATTAGTGTGGATGCATCCAATTATAGGCGTTGATTGTGTTTTGTTTCAGTTCCGGTGCTGTTCCAGGGCTCTGGCCAGACCAGTTTCAGTGTCTGTTTTCAGCAGGCCTGAGGTTCAGACTGTACAGGTGAGACTTTTAAGTGGTAAATTGGGTCCTGTATTTCTGTGCTCACTGCCTGTGGTACGTGATGGTTCCTCCTGAGATGGAGGAGTAAGTTTGTATATCAAGAGGATGGCTAATGTCAGGACATAGCTTCTAACTCAGATTGGTGATGGTTTCTCAAGCTTGGCTGATTTGGCTCTGCCTTGAGTTAGAGGATAAATGTTGATAATGTTTTGTTTTTTAAAAAATATGTATATTTATGATTAAAAGTATCATTAGCATGTTTCTTTTCCTGTATCCCACAGCTAGCTGGCGTTTCCCATCCACAGCTGACATGCCGTGAGTTCCAAACCAGTGCTGTTTCCAGGGATATTGATACTGCTGCTAAGTTCATCGGTGCTGGTGCTGCCACGGTCGGGGTGGCTGGTTCAGGAGCGGGTATTGGGACGGTGTTTGGCAGCTTGATCATTGGCTATGCCAGGTAAGTTGCCAGCCTGGTTTGAATTTATTCCCGTCTTCCAGCACTAAATTTAGTAGAGCTTTCTCTGGAATACATGCCTAGCTCTACCTGGATACTGTATACAACCAGATACTGTGTTTAACTGAATATAAAATGGTTGTTATAATCCATTATTGGAATAAATAAGAAAGAATCTGAATTGTTTGAATCCACCCTGTACTTTGAGTGATGCAGCTGCTCTGTGGAGCTCTGACTGCCTCTAGAAGAAATGAAGGACTAGTTAGCAGGAACTGTTGTTTGGTACCACCAGGGCAGGTGGAACTAACCTTTAGGGTTCAACATGTCTGTATCACTAAAACCAGGGAAAAATCATGGCTTTCTCATTCCAGCTGGTGGCTGCCTGCCATGAAACTGGTTTGTGCTCTAAAATCTGTTGCCTGTGTGACATAATCCTGGCTTTCTGTAATACGGGCTTTGGTTGGTTGGTTTTGGTTTTTAATTTTTCTCACTGTGGAACCCTTTCTTTTTTTCCCCTTCTCTCTCTGGTTTGTTCCCCCCCTTGTACAATCTACAGGAATCCATCTCTCAAGCAGCAGCTCTTCTCCTATGCCATCCTGGGCTTTGCCCTGTCCGAGGCCATGGGTCTCTTCTGTTTGATGGTGGCATTCCTTATCCTCTTTGCTATGTGACAACTTCTGGCCCTGGCTGCGGCTTCCATCACTCTGTCCTCTGCGGTTTGAGTCTGCTTCCATCAGAACGTTCCAGACTGACAATTAAAGAAAAGATTTATCTAAATAAACTGGTGGCTTAATTTTTTTTTTTCTTTATTCCTAATTTTTCTCTTTATGTTCTAGTCCAGTGGTGGGGAAGTACCTGGGGAAACTGGCATATTGGTTGAAAAGGGTAATGTCCCAGGTATGGGGGTACTTACTAATAAAGGAGAAGGGAAATATGAAATGGTGGTAGGAGGGGAGAAAAACTAATGTGAGTCAGCTAGATAAGAGAGGATGTCCTTGAACAGCTCAAATCTATTTAAAAAATCCCAACAAGCCTTACATTAGCAAGGCAAATACTTCTAGATGAGCTCACAAAGCATTGTGTTTTCCCACGTACTGGTGTTGAAAATGCTATGCCTTTTTTTTTTTTCATCTGACAGTATGTAGAAAAGGTGATGAGTACAGGTGAATGCGCCACCTAGAAGTGTATTAATGGTGTTTGTGTAACTAAATTACCAGTAAGTACATAAGGGTATGTGCTACCATATCATCTGCATTTTCTTTCACAAAGAAGAGCTGGTTTCAAGGTCACAGTATTCATGTGCCTCCTCAAAGCATCAGTTTACACAAAGAACTACAGCAGAGTTATTTCTCCTTACCACCAGGTATGTGCTTCAGCTGTTTAGAGATTGGAGTAAACTAGGGAGGAGAAATGCTAAAATCTAACCTGCACCTTGGACCTTGTGCCTTTAAGGAAGGTAGGAAGGGACATTGGGGGAGCTTGTCTTGTTATCTGCTTTAGATAATTGAATTAATGCAGCTACTGTGTGTGCTTAAAGCCTCTGAAGCATGATTGTGACCTCTCTGGGACTGGGAAGGGGATACAGGAGCTGTTCTGTTTGGTTGTAATAGCTGCTTACACCCTGTGAGGGGAAGGGAGGCTGAGAAGAATTTGACTCAAAAAAACTGTCCCTGACACTTGGAGAAATGTGGCTCTGAAACAAAAAAGAACTCAAGGGAGACTTTTTGGCTGAGCTAGAGAAGAAAAAGTATTGAGGGCAGGTTGGAGCCACCTGCGTGTCAGGCACTCAACACTTAATGTTTCAGGAAAACAACATTGTGTCTAAGCTAGTTGCATGTATTCTCCCTTACACATGTGAAAGTGCATAAATAACTTCTTGTATCCCTGGTAACGCAAAAGTGACCTTGGAACTAAAATCCCTCCCTTGCAGTCGCACACTTACTGTGAGTAACCGAGCGCTTCTGGGCAGCTCCGGCAGGTGTTGTAGGGGTGAGGTGGTCTGTGTAGGCCAGGAGCAGAGCTGTCGGTTTCCTGCAAGCTGCAGTAACGGCTTCCCTCCCCTCGCACCGCTCTGCACAGGCCCTTCTGCCTCCTGAGGCTGGGCACCCGGGGAAGAGCTTTGGGTGCTGCCTGAGGCTGAGGCTAGGCCTCGCTCCGGCCTGAAACGCTGTCCTGCCGCGTCTCCGCAGGCTGAAGCGTCCTCAGAGCGAGTCTGTTGCCGCAGCCGCTTCCCAACAAAGCTTTTTCCCACCCAAAAAGCCCCGAATTTCTGATTTCTGCTGCCTCCAGCCCGGGAGACCCCTGCCGCGGCAGGGGGCGCGCTGCTCCCAGTGATACACTCTAGCCTAGGATGAGGCGTCTCTGTGGAAGGGGCGCTCTGGCGCCGGGAGGGGGGCGGGGGGAGACTCGGTGGTGGTGGTGGGGAGTCTGTGGCGGGAGTGGGAGGGGGGAGAGGGGGAGGTGGCGCTCTGGCCGCCGCTCGGTGGTGGAGGCGAGGGGCGGGGGCCGCTCTGGCCGGCGGACTCGTTGGTGCGGAGTCCCGGAAGCGGCGTTCCCCGAGGCCGGGCGCGGAATGGCGGAGAGTCCGGCCGCCGAGGAGGCGGCTCCGGCCGCGGTGCTGGCGGCGGCGGGCGGCGGCGGCGGCGGCGCTTCGGCCGGCCCGGCCGGCGGCGCGGGGAACCCCGGCGTCTTCATCCCCGCCGAGCTGTGGGCGGCGGCGGGCTTCGGCGCTGCGACGCCGGGCGCCGGGGTCGCCCCGGGGAGCGGCGGGGCCCCCATCGCGGCGGCGGCGGCGGCGGCGGGGGCCGCGCTCCTCACGCACTCCGCTTTCTGGGACCCCACGGTCAGCGGCGACTGGGACAGCGAGCGGCCCAGCCCGGCCTGCCTCCTGCGGATCAAACGGTGAGAAAGGAAAGCCGCCCTACCCGGGAGCGGCGGAGCCTTCCGGGCCCGGGGGGGGGG